GTGTGTGTGTGTGTGTGTGTGTGTGTGTGTGTGTACCTGTTTTTGTTACTTACGAGGACACTGGCTTGTAGAAACCTTTTGGGGACCAAAGTCCGGTCCTCATAAGATGGGACACAATTTTAAGTTTAGGGATTAGAATTAGCATTAAAGTGTGAACTAGGATTATATTAGGATTAGTTATGCACTGGGGAAAGTTAGTTTTAAGGTAAGGGCCAGGGTTAGGCTACAGAAATAAATGGAAACGAATAGAAGTCGATACATGGTCCTAATAAGGATAGAAATACAAGTGTGTGTGTGTGTGTGTGTGTGTGTGTGTGCGTGCGCCAGTTATTTTTAGGCTGCAAATCTAGACAAAACCAGAAGCTCGCTCCAGTTTCAGTTCTGCATTCTCACAAACTTTATACTTTTTTTAAATCAACTCAAACAAATCCGACGCTGCAAATTATTTCAGAAATCTTGTAAAACTCACCTTTTTTGTTCTAATTATCTAGAGGTGTCTGCCTGTTGCGCACACACAGAGAAATAACCAGAGTTACGTCACGATTGTGACGACAGTGTTGCACAAACAGCTGCGTGGTTTCTTGCAGTGTCTCAAACAGATAAAAAGATGTAGCTTTTCTTCAAATAATCCACTAAAACAGTAATTTTACCTTGTCYATGTCAGAATATTATTTTCATGTTTCATCTGAATAAATTAAATTTGTTATTATGTGAGTTTTATTCYTTCAGATGCTATCGTTGTTGGAGGATTTGGAGTGTATCTTCTGCAGTGTTTTAGTGTGTTATTCATCCCTTACCAAAAACGAATATACTTGAAGTTAATTTTAATAAGTATACTTGAGTATAAGTTTAAGTATATCAAGTATACAACACACCGTGTACTTGTAGTGTACTAGAATGTATACTGATTTAATACCTATTCATACTAAATTGGGATTTTTTATTATTAAAAGTATACATTAAGTATACTGTTATGTCTTTTTAAGCTTACATACTTACCAAAAAGGTACAGTTTAAATACATGTCATTAAGTATAATAAAGTATATAAAAGTGTATTTCCTTAAGTGGGCTTTTATTTACGATGTACACTGATAAAAGTATAATAGCAGTATACTAACAAGTATACTTCTAGGACTAAACAATAAGTTTATGAAAGTATACCAGAAGCAGTGGCGTCACTAGGCCGATTTTGGGGGGGGGTGGAGCCCCCCTAAAATATTTTAAAGCCCCCTAAATTATCTTGATGTAAAAAAGTTTTTTAATTTAATTATTTTTTTACAAAAATTCAATATGATGATGTCAGAATAAATAATCGTTTAATATTTCATTA